GGTAGCACACACCAGAGTAAGGAAACGTTGATGAAAGATACTTGCCGGGTTAGACCCTGAACGGAGCTGTAAACAATTCTTGTGCGACCACCCAGGAAAGAGGATATAAAATTTAGAAGTTTACCACCCATTCCGAAAGGGGAAAGCTTCAAGAGAAGAAAATAATGGTTCACACGAACAACCGACTTGTTGAAATCGAAATAGACCGTGTAAAATGCAAAATCGCTATCCCTAGATTGGAGAACATGATCAAAGAAGAAGAGGTGACAGGTATCGCAAGACAGAGCCTTGGGGAGCCCTTGCGTGTAGCGCGCAGTAAGTTAATCTCTACTAAGTGACACATCATATTAAAAAATAAATAAAATAAAATAATTTTTTAAGACCCATTGGGGTTCATTCAAAGTAAGTAAAAATAAATCTTCATATGAATGTTAGACGAGGTAGGCAGAATCTCTACAATGTGCAATTCATAGCCTATGAAGTAGCAGTCCGTGAAGAAGAATGATGAGCGAACAGTGAAAAAACTGCACTTTAGAACAAAAAATGATTGGATTAACTTTATAGAGGAAAAAACTGTCGCTCATGAAAGAACAACAATGTGGGCGGCACCGACCTGCATGTGGCAGTGTATAACGGATTATAAACGGGCATCGTCAGGGCAGAAATAAATGTCAGCCTTGAGGGGTAAGTATGCGGGTCAAACAGGACTGGCCTGCATGTGGTATTGTATAATGGATTCAAAATGGACATCATCAGGGCAGAAATCATGCACTGGATGAGACTATTCGCGTCAAAGTGGCGAGACGAGAGGAACCCAGACGCAATCGGTCACAGTTCGCTTCGAGCCCAGCCGTGGAGTGGGCAAGGGAGGTATGACCAAACTACTAGTGGACGGCGAATACTGAGGGTTCCGCCGTGAGCGTCGACAAAGCGCTTGAGGACGAAATGAGGCGATGACATCAACAACTGCGAAAATCTTCGCTATGGGGGAGGAGTGATAGCATATGCTCGGGCATACGGCCAGTAGCTGGATCACTTAGCTGGACCCTCCAGATCGAAGATAAGCTGACTTCGCCTGCATATCACTTTACTCAATGACGGATGCATTGAAGTCATCCACTGCTAGAATGTCTGGTCAACTCACGGTCTCCTTTATGCTCTTCAGCAGACAAATAGCTGTGTCGGGATCCTTTCTTTGTGGTCGGTGGACAGTTGCGGCTTCAAGGGACTAGGTCTACAAAGCCTTTATAGTCGTCGAACAGTCCCCGTATCGTTTATAATGCTCTTGGTCTTTTTCATCCACTGTTGAATTGTTCTTCAACTACATGGCCACTCCTCCATCCTGACGGTTATTTCTGTCTCCCCTATGCAACATATATTCCTGCTATGATATTTCGCAATCGCTGACACTCTGTGGTGGCCACATTCCCTCTATTGCTAACAACAACTGAGCAGTTAAAATTTGAACGGTTTTTTCATGTCTGCCTTCTTTTCTTACTGTTGACTTTTAGCAGACCAACCTCAACCGTCCACGAAGTCTCGCGTTCAGGAAAACCGCGGCCACGAAAACTCATCCCCAGTTATGCGAACACAAATACCAAATTAAACACCAATAGTTTTCGTATAATAGGTTTATTTTTCCGCCCTAGAGGTCACTATCCAAATTAAGTTAACACCTAGCTAAATAATAGAAAACTGAAGATAGTTATGCTGTGTGAGCAGCTTATTATACGATAGAATTATGACATTGTGTTATATAAAGTAGGATACGCTTTGACGTCCTCCCGTGACCGGTCTTTTCACATATGATACTTATGATAGCAATATTCACATCCTTCGCGTTCTCGCTTGTACATAAATTGAATTTTAAATCATCTGTGTAACAAATTGTCCAAAGTCCCCTACAATCGTTCTCTATTTATCAGCGGATTATCAATAAGCTGTAAGGCTGCGGGAGGTGAATTGTGGGATCAAACATATTAAACATGGGCGGGCAAAGACATTTGCAGTAAATTAGGAGTTCTGTGATGCCCGTGCACGTTGTTTAAAATCCGTTTTGGAATACAAGTCCTTCGAGCTTACGAAATTTTAGCTTCTGTTAGGGTATATAAGATACGCTGTGTTGGACAAATCCACTAGTGGATTAGCCTGCTTAGCAGTGGAATAGGGAGTTACAACAAAGGGTGAGTCTTCGCAGGTTTCTTTTATGTCCGACTGTTAAACATTATTGCCACTTCATTTGCTTATTAAAAAAAATATAAATCAGACGCAACCTCCAAAACTTCTCAAGTTTATGGAAAACACAGATGTTCACGATGCATCTGCTTGAGAAGTAAGGTCAGCACCGCCAGTGGGAACTGAACATGCGACCTCTGGGTGGCAACCACACGGCCACGGTCCGTGGACAGTTATAATATTAGTTTACACTTAAAGAATCCCTTAGTTTTTGAGAAATACGCAAAATCTTCGTTCCTGTAGGGGCTCAGTAAAAATCGCCGCTGGTTCATCCCTGGCAGTGCAGGTGAAATTTTTGACTAATTTACTGGATTTCGCCTGTGAGGACGAAGTTTCAGTGATTAAATCACTTTAAAGTAGGTTAGGGTGTGGGGAAGAGGATAGATCACTTGGAGGAGGAAACTTCCAATATCGAAAGGTTTGTACGCTGACCAGTCTGCTAATGAACACCACTTGTGTCCAAAAAATCCAAAACGAAGAATTATCGTAGTCAATATGGCTTCTTCAAGCACAAATAACTTTGGGAGGAAGCGCATCGAGTCCACATAGCTCATTCCGTTAGTGGGCCTTTTTTCGTTCGATGGCGATATCAAAATAGTTCATGCGCTTTGTCACTGTCATGCGGTTCAGGCAACATTAGCAGTGATTGAAGGTACATAACCGCATTCCATGTCGTTCCTGGCTGCCTCACGAAAATGCGGCTTTGAAAATCGCGCCGTATTTGATGAGATAAGGAAAAATAAGTCAGAGATATTAAGGAATATTACACAAAAATCCCGTCTAACTCGCAGTGAGGTTCCTTATTCTTGGTAGACGTCCTGAAGAAACCTGATGCCAGTGATATAGATGCCGCTAAAAGACAGACTGAAAAAGTCCGCAAAAGGGTTTGCCGGTAATTTAAGAAAGTGACGTTACTACTGGCCCAGATAACAAAGATGCTCATAATATAGATATTCCTGATGTCGAAGCCCCATCAACAAAACAGAACACCGAAACACCAAATAGACATCTTGACGGAATTTGGAATATTGCACAAAGGGGGTTCCTATGCCCACTTTGTTGATAGTGAGGGAAAGCGTTCAATATGATCTCAAACTCTTTTTAGATAATTCGAACGCTATCGTTCAGGATGGACAATATGGTACTGCATACAAAATTGACTGTTTAGGAAACACAGACTATCGCCAACAAGGCCCCTTAAAATCATTCTTGAAAATGAGTTCCAGGCTTTATGCTTCACAGAAGAGGGGGTGACTATCCATAATTTATATCGTTAGTTGTTTTTCCGCAGAATTTAGAGCCGATGGTAGGACCCAAATTTAAGGGAATTCTGGCCTCAGTTAATAATGCATGTCGCCCAAGTAACTCTATATCCGGTAGGGCGTGAATGAGTACTATTTCCAAGCGGTTTGTCGCGCCTAAGCAAAACGAATTCGGGTACGTGGTAGTGACCAATAAATCATGGATAGATAGATAGATAGATAATTTTTATTAAAGACCCGTCGGGGTCCCATCAAAGCAAGTTAAAATAAATTTGCATGCGAGTTTTAGACGAGGTAGGCCGACTCTTTACAAAATGCAATTCATAGTTTCTAAAATAGAAGTCCATTGAGAAACATGATGATTGAGGGGTAAAAAAAACTCCTAAGAAAAAGTTAAAAATGATTGAATTAATTTTACAGGAGAAAAAACCCCTCTTTAAAAACAATAACAGAAAAAAGCGAGCAGGACTGGCCTGTAGGTGGCTGTATATAACGGAATGTTGTCGGTCATCGTCAGGGTAGCAATAAATGTCCGCCTTGATGGCTACGAATGTGGGTCAGACAGAACTGGCTTGCAAATGGCATTGTATACGGGATTCACAATTGAGATCGTCTGGGCCGGATTGGTACGCCGCGTCAAAGAGGCCAGACGAGAGGAACCCAGATGCGATCGGCCACAGCACGCTCCGAGCTCAGCCCAGCAGTGAGGAAGGGAGGTACGACCGAACTACTAGTAAACAGTGAAGACTGAGGGTTCCGCCGTGGATAGGAATCTAAAATGAAATCCGAGCACGCGTTGGCACATTTCGAAACCAGGTTTTGTGTGTATCATAGCATACTTATGGAGAATCACAAAAAAGTTAGGTTGTGCTGGAAAATGAAAAGTGAATAAGGGAAAAACGTACAAAGACCCAAATTATCGAGACGACGGCATTTCGATGTCGACACACTGACAGGGTTTACAGCTTACCTGTGTCGAAGAACCTAACCATCAAGTAGCAACAGGAACCCCTTCCCTTAATCATCTTCTTGACTGCGAGCTTCTCCTTGGAAATAATCAAGAGTTTCTTCTATTATTTCGAGCTTCTTTGCATCAAGAGTGCAGGCAGCTGATACACGTAATCGTTTAACAGGGGAAGTTAGGAAATTACCTCCACTTCACAAACCAATAATTTCGCTTATCGGGTTTGCCAGACTTTAAAAGTGACTAAATGAGTCTATACTGCAGGTCTAATAAAGCCACTGTCGAAACTAATTTTCTGGGAGACTTGGATTGCCAAAAATTGAGTACTGCAGACTGGATGGGAATCCCATGCCACATGATCGGTTTCTAATCAAACCCATGAAGTTTTTCGCCCAATAAAGCTAGGCAGATAACTGTACAGCAAAAAGTCTTATGCGAAATAATTTACTTGGCCTTGAATACCTGTTGTCCCTGTTTTAGTGAGTTTGAATCTTGGCGAAACACTTGGACTGTGGGTTTTGCCGCCTGCCTTCGTCGAGATGGTCCTCGGGCTCTTCGCGCCTTTGTCAGGATACCTCCGGACAGGTGTCTTTAGATCGTTTGTTTACAGCTTCTTGCGCAACACCCAATGGATTGGTAGTGTTCCTTCGTACAGACTTCTCTCAAATGAATCGCAATCACATTCGAAGGTTATTTACCATAATATTCTTATTGTTTTGCTTTATCTGCAGAGCGCACATACGTTTGACGGGCATATTCCCCTTGGTTTGTTCTTATGTCATAGATAATTTTAAGAGGAAATTGAGATTTCTTATTCAAACGCAAGTGGTCCTGGCGGTCAACACGTCAACAAAGGTATACAGTTCTTAAAAATCTACCCTTGCAGCAAAGACGAAGGTGGAAATACGATTCCATGTTGCTTCTGCCTCATGGATTCCTGAAGTCCTTAAGCCTGTTATTTTGGAAAAAGAATCAAACCGCATATCCAAGGACGGATTTCTTATCATACAATCCGATAAAACGAGACAACAACTGCTTAATCAGGCCGATTGCC